TGTCATGCTCTTTCTAACCATACAAAAATTGAAGAAAAACAATGTCTCTTTTAATTTTGCATTTCTATTACATTATTACTTAATTTACTTGCATTAAAATATTTTATAATCTCAAATAGGGTAATGTATGGATATTTGGAGCAAAAAAAGATGTTCAGTATGATAATCCATTATCATTTACCAATTATTGTCATCGTACATTATATGAATTTGCATTTGCGATACTGATTATAACCTGGATTATGCCGGTTGTCTGCTGTATATATCATTGCATACGTGGTTGTTTTCAAACTGAAACAAAAGGTGCAAGATGATCAAAGTGAAATTATTAAGAACAACAAAAATGACATTTATTATAATGTTGAAGAGAAGACAAAAAAACAAAAAAAATTTTTTTTTTCTATAAAATGTTTTTAAAAGCAAAAGATTTTTTTAATGATTTGCAAAATGTTACAAATAAATTGACAATTTTTTTTAAATAATAAAAATATCTCGGTTGCTTTTTTGTTTTGCTTATTACAATGATAATTAGAAAGTGATAATGGGTTTGTAATATTTTCTATTTATCATTGTTTTATTTATTTGTATTCATGATGATTAAAATATTGATGTATTCATGTAGGTGTTCGTATTTAATCTCATTATTTCATTTCTGGTCTATGTATATGGATTTGAGATCAAGAAAAGTAGATTCAATATAATTATCGAATGAAAAATGTTTTTATCTTCCATTAATTTGATTACATGTTTAATCGGATATTGGATATTGCATTTCTTCATTTTCTAGTATATCAAGTTTTAATGTATGGTAGATTTTCTTTGTAAATCAATGAACATGTTAGTGTTGAAAGTCAGATTAGGTCTTATCTTGGATTGTAGATGAAACAGATGTTGAAAGTTGAACTAGACTATAAATTAGTATTGTGTTTAAATTCTTATTGATGAACTAGACAGAGTAGTGACATTCCAATTAATACAATCATCAATGGATAAAACAAGCTTGAATCTGTAAAATTATGAACAGTTTTATAGATAAGAACTGTCTCAATAGAAAATTGTTCATTGACGTTCGAAGTTTTAACTTGATTTATGAAATGATAATTGTAATGGGTAGCCCATAAACAAGAGAATTTATCGCTCTACAAAACGGCTGATTTTGTTCTCCAAATAAGTTTCTTTTACTTCAGAAAAATCGAAAAGATTGATATCTACTGAGCTATTGAACTGTGACTGTCAGAAAACAAAACAATTATTAAAAGTATTAAAATACAAGTTGCGCTGAAATTTGCAATATGCTGTAAGAAACGCGACGAAATGTTACATCTTACGGCATTTCACAGTTTTAGAAAAAGGAAAGATTTAAAAGAACGATGTTTCAAACACAGTTCTATGCGATTGGAATCAATCGAAAGATTTTCTTTAGTACGCTAACACTTGAAAACACGAACCTTGAGAAGATCTAGGGAGTATAGCAGAGAAAATTCGCTGTCTATTGATGTGAAATACGTTACATATAGCATCGAAATTGATGAGCATAAGCTCACACAAATCGTTAGATATTAGAAGAATATCGCAGTTAGGTAATGCAACAGTTGTTAATTTTTCCAATTTTTCGTCAACAAGAAAAACTTATTGAAAAAACGAAGCCCACATTTTTGTAGATCGAAAACTTTTCTACCAAACGACCTTAGAATTGTACCTTTGAACAGTGTTTCGGTTCTTCAAAATCAAATAATTAAAGTGTCATTTTATCTATGAGCTACGCGTTATTAATTAAAATGTCATCATTTCCAATTAACCTCATTGATTAGCATCCATATACAACATCGATCTACACACTAGATCGATTTTTAATATGAGTTTTCCCTTCAATGTGAGATTAGATGCTAATATACATATATATGTGTAAATGATTGAAAATGTTCTCTTATTTATTTACTGTCGATGTATTATGATTTTCATAACATTTATTTGATTAATTAAACATATAACGAATACACAATGAAATACATAATCTATAGTTAATGATAAAACATTTTATCAGAATTCTTAGATGGTTGTCTCTTATTAAATATGAAACATACTTTCTTAAAATATAAGAGATCAGAAAAAAAAAAGATTTTGCAAGATTATTGCAATCAAGGTTGTATTCAATTTTCTATTGTATTCTCTATATGAATTATTAATATTGATATTTTTTTTACATTAGTTTCTTTATATAAGTATTCTACTTTGATTAAAAGATTTAGAACAGTGACATGAATAATTCGTAGGAGAAAGCGACCGAAAAAAAGAAAAACGATATGCTTTACTTGAAGCCTATTCAAATGTATATAATAAAGTGCAACGAGTATGAAAAAAAAAGCCCTAAAAGAAAGACCGAGACAAACAAGTATTTGCATTTAACATATTAATCATAATCATTTTTCTCATTTTTTTGTATTATACACAAATGGATCCAATGTCAAAAGAAGGAACTAACGAGACTATTCCGTTAAGACCTCTAACAACTTCAAGGTCTTATATGCCAGTATCTGAAGTTGGTCGAACAGTTGGCACGACTTATTTTCTTTTGTAATTCCAATTTTTATCTAATAAAAATGTAAACTCTCATATTTTTAGTTCGATACTATTTGCGTCTATTATTCCAATAATTCAATTAGGAATTGGCTTACATTACAAAGGACAATGTCCAATCGATGAAAATATTCCAACTTACATGATCGTAGCTGGTATATGTGGTTTAGCATTAGTTGCACTGTCATTATTTCTTGCTATGTAAATTAAAACATAGAAAAATTATTTTTCATTTTAATATTTCATTTTAGTACATTTAAATGTTTCATTTCGGATTCAACAACATTAACAATATTGGCCAGTTGTGGTATATGTTTAAATGTGCTAGCAACATTTCTTATTTCAATTTTTGTTTTTATTTGGTTTATTCTTGGTTGTGTAAGGGTATTTAGTATTCGTGACCGAGTAGAATTTGAAGATCAGCCAAAGTCTACGAATTATTGTCATCCTGTCTTGTATAAATCAACATTCGCATTACTTATTATAACAATTGTTTGGGCTTGTATTCAATGTTGTTTATCATGTTATAGAACATTTTATCCACGTCGACAGGCTTAAATCAATGAATAATTAACTACATACTTTAGTATAGTTTTTCGCTCGATATTTTCTTACTAATAATTGTTCTCTTAACAAAGATTTCAAGTACATATTTTGTCTTTTTTTTTGAAGTGTTCATCAAAATATATGAATTATTGTAGAAATATTTTGAACTTTGTAAAATTAACATGGTTTTTTTTATTCAACTATCCCAGATGAACGATTCCGACGCGTAAAGTTCATCGGGTCCAAAATTTACGGACTAAGTCGAATCGTACTTTGATCAACTCAATGAAATTTTCCAATCAGCATCGGATAGTCGCTTTGAAGATACGAATATACTTTCCCGGGTTTTTTTTGTATCCGACCACCAGAGACCATCCGATCTAAAATTTTCGTTCAATGAAAGATACATAAAACTACCTAGAACTAGATCGTCTTATTTCAATTGACAAACATCTAAATTCCAGCATTATCATAAAAGGCTATGCGTAGTAAAAGATTCCTTAATCACACATAGAAGGTTTCTTGAAGGCATGATTATTCCTGACATAATAATGAAATCTCCATCAATGTCATAATTAATACAGAAATTGTAAGTTTCATTCATATATTTAATCGAAAAAAAAACGCCTAGTTTTTATGATTCTAAACTGAATATTAAGTAGGGTTGAAGCTAAAAACATTTTTCATCTTTTTTTATCTTGAAAAACTTTTTCAATTACTCCAACCTTTCGCATTTTTTTGACAAATATTTTCGACTAATAGTAACTAAAGAAGAAACAAGAAACTAACAGTATATAACCTATGGAACATCGATCCCCGTGGATATAATAGAACACCTGGGTTTTCTAATATAGGATGAATAATTAATTACATATCGAGATCCATGTTTTCTTTTTAATTGTTATGTATTTTTACTTTATTTCGATTAACAAAAGAAACATATTCATATTGACATTAATTTATAACAAAATGCTATTTCTACACTAAATGATATAATTGATTTGTTTACATTTTGTTTTTCTTCGAGCAAGAAGGACAAAAAATATCTGAATAGTTGGTTCATATGTCTATATATTGATCGAAATTACATCTATTAAGCTATAAATCGAACTGAATTGTAATCATTTTCAAATCAAAATATATCAAAGAAACAGACTTACAAAAAAAGTGCTCAAATGCTTATTATTTGCATAAGATTTTTTGTATACGATTATTAAGAAAAAATACGTTGCATTTTACTATATCCGTTGAATATTTACACTACTGATCCAAAAAACAAAATCAACATATTTTTCATTATTCTTTATAATACCAAACTTTTAACTCAAATTCAAACAATAGTTTGAATAGCCGATGAAGCTCTCTGTCGAATACATTTCATATCGCAGTTTCATAAATGAACTATTAGAAGAAGGTTTCTGGAAAACAAAACACGGTAGTTATCAGATCTCATTTCTTCCGATCTTCCCTCAAAAAGTAATAACCATCACAAAGCGAAATTTATCGTAGTATTGCTAAAAAGAGTATTTTTTGCTACGTTTGATACTTATAACTCCTTACGAAGATGTAATAGGAAACAGGACCTGACAACTATAGTGTTTGGTTTTCAAGAAACATTCGTTTCATAGTCCATAATGGAAATTTCAGTAGGAAATACATTTGTTAGAGAACCTCATTTGCTATGCAAATCAATGCTTAATTTTGAGTTAAATTTTTCGTATCGTAGAAAAGCAGTTGAAACTATTAGATTGGTCTTATTTTTTTTCGACCAGTATTATAGCAGTAGCTGGATTACCAATATTAAAGAGTTTATTCTTAAAAAAATTTTTTCAAGTTTATATATTCAACAAAAAAATCTTTTTTTTTTCATCGATTAATTATTTTTCGGGTGTTGATTGTTTCCAACGGCGATGAAAATCATCAATATGTTGTACAATTACTCCTATGAGAAAAAGAAAGAAAAAAAGTTTTCGTTGACGTTATTAAAAAGAAACAACCAAAAAAATGGCCTTACCATCTTTTTCAACTGTTTGCTGCTCTTTATTTGTTAATGATCTTGCAAAAAGTAAATTGACTGTTGATATTGAATTATTCGTTGTTTGTTTATCAAGATTACTTTGTTGTGTAAAATAAAGACAACAATCAATAATTTCTTGAAAACGATAAAAATCTTTATTTTTATTATTCTTTTTTTTATTTTGATTTGTTAATCGTTCATGTACGGCTTGTGTACGAATAAATCTAAGTAAAAAAATAATTTTAAATCAATTTTACTAAAGATCGTTATCGAAACTCTTTTTTGGACTAAAATGTAGAACTTACATGTGCTCTGTAGCCACATTAAACTAATAGAAAATGAATTAAGTAAAAAAAGAAATCTCTAAAAGACTAGTTTTCAAACAGTTGTCGATTACTAGAGACATGATCTCTCCTACATTTTGAAAAGAAATTTTTCTTTTTTTTTATACTTAAAATGCATTATTATTCTAATCATTGATTTAACTGTTAAATAAACCTGTTGCCTATACTCATTATAATGACCTCAAGTCTCAACACACTATTATAGATTTCGATAGACTCATAAACATTGATATTGATTATTTCCCAAAGTTATGACTTAATCAGTTCACACGTTTTGTGTCAATCATTAGCCGACAATGACAAATCAATGCAACACTATCCCTTATTTTTGAGATCTATAATGTAAATTTTGATCTGTGCAAAAGTTAGAAACTGTACTATTGAGAACAATGACACGACAGATGAGCCTGATATTAAGAACAAATTAAAGAAATACACGAAAAATAGTTTTATGTGAATAAGTCGACTTGCATATCAAAAATTGAACAGCGCTCTTACTCATGTGAAAAATAAGTCTCTTATTATCAAATGAAAAGTCGAAATTATTTAGTTGTTCTAGTATTTTATTAAGAAGCTTATATTTAACATGATTTTTAGTTTTGTGTCGGCGTTCATTTTCTCTTCATTCATACCCTTCTGAAGGTTGACATCAAGCTATTCAAATACTGATAATTTTTTATGTATTTTCCTCAATACAATTACTCATCTATCTCTACTCAGAACTCAACACGATAGAATTCACTAGTTTTTTGAATCTATCCAAAATTTGAAAATAGAACAATATGAAAATTAGATATTGTCTGAACGACTGCAAGTCGGACTTGTAAAACTCAAGAAACGTATTAAATATGAAAAAATGGTAACAACTAATATCAAATTTTCATTTGATTACAACAGACTTATACTTTAAGTGAGCAAAAGGTCTGTTCAGTTTCTAATATGAATATCGAATTATTCAAAGAAGCCTATTTTCTTATAGTTGTTTAATTTATTCTTTATGACAGGCACATCTGTCGATGTATCACTTGAAATATTCACAAACGTATTCCAAACATTCAAGCTTCAGTCATGGCTTTCAAATGCTTTAGAACATTCCAAGTCTTAACTTTAATACTGTCTAGTACCCTTTTCGATTGCTAAGGAACTCTGAGAAAGGAGTACGATTTGTTGCTAGTAAAGCACATTGGATTCAAAATTTCTCAGCCTGACTAAGTTCGACATCAATCCGATAACTTTTAATTTTTCTCCTCTCTTCCGTTACTACGAGCGAGTCACCGAAAAACTTCGACTTAAACACTTACACTCACTATATTTTTCATCAAAAAAAGAAGATTGTGTAAGTTGCACAAAATACCTGTTTCCAAGACGAAATTGATTTTCAAGCCATCGAATAGCATCACGTGCTTCGCGTTGTTCTTTCTTTAATTCATCAAGAACATCAATTACTACAAAAAAAAAATAAAACGAAAAAAAACTTTGAATATTTCTATTGAATAATAAAACAAACCAACAAGTGGAATAATAATAATAAAACGTTGTGACTGAACTAATTTTTGTATTAAATTAAGATTTGTACATAAAACAGATGAATCAATAACAAGATAAGGTGGTAAAGAAAATTCTTCATTTTTTAAACTATTTTCTAATTGACTTATTTCAGCTTGTAAACGAAGTGCAGCCATATCACGCATTAAACGTGATTTACGTTCTTCATCAACAGTTGTTTCTGATGTTTTATCTGATGAAGAATCTATTGTTGATGTTACTTGTTCAAATGAATTTGAAGCAATAAAAGATAATTTATCATTATCATAATTAAATTGAGAATTTGGTAATATTGATGTTGCATAATAACCAAAACGACGTAGAGAACAAATACGAATTATTGTCTAAAAAGAAATCAATAAAAAAAACTTTCTTTTTAAACTTTATCTATTCTACTTCTTACAGATTCAAGTTTATTTAATGATGATAATTGATTTAAATTTAATTTTAAATAATTTCGATCAACTTTTAAAGATTGAAATGCACGTAATTGAATATCTTCATCAAGCATTGGTGATGGAAAAACAAAAGCTTTTGTTTCAACAAATTTACTTAATAATGGATAAATCGATGAATTTGAAGGAATTAAACCTAGTCAAAATCAATATGACGATTAAAAACAAATATATAGATTTTAACATACCACTTTTCAGAATATCACGTTCATGAGGTAAAAAATTTAATAATAAAGCTAATTTTGACCATAGACCAGGTGATATCTATATCAATAAAAGACAAATAAATTTAGATTTATATCTATATATGAATAACAAAAGTTCATTAAACATACAGGTAATAACATTTGAAGGAGACGTTTATTTCCAGCAAGCCAATCACAAAAAATTTTTATACCAGAGAGAAGATATTCATTTTCCAATAATTCAATTATTAATTTTGTACCATGATGAAGAGTATTTCTACAACGATAATATCTTATTATTCAAGAAATCTGCTTACAACATTTAATCTATTATCATGAAACATTATTTTTAATTTTCTATAAAATAAGTTAGATTTTATAAGCACAAACAACATTTCATATGAATAAAAACTTGTCAATGCAGCTTCTTTAGAATTAAAATGTGGAACTCACTTGTATTCTTTAGTCTGATTAAACTAATACAAAATGAGTAGTCTATATCAGAGAAGGAATCTACCTGATTTATTTGTAGATTTAGTATAGAATTTTTCTTTTCGTGAACGCTCTAGTCTTTGCTTGTCTTGCGGTGATTCGTTCATTATTTTTATTCTATTTAAGATGACATTTGTATTATTCTAATCATTGATTTAACTGACGTCCGTTATATAGGTATCAGGTTTCAATGTGTTATTATATATCTTGATAGATTCAAAAACACTGATATTGATCATTCCTCAAAAAGTTATTACTTGATTAGTTGATGTTTTTTCGGTCGATCATATACTGACTGTGGCAGATCAATACAGCACTATCCATCATCTTTGATATCTATCGTACAATGCTATATCTGTGTAGAAATTAGAAACAATCCTAGCTATTTAAATTACAAAAGATTTTTTTGAATGTTCAAGAATAATTTATATCTTGATATTAATGTTGTTGCTTAAAAATTCTGGGACAAAATTCTAATAGTCATTGCCCACGACTACGAGAGGAAACGCGCTTATTCATCTCTAAACGTCTTCTCTGTTGCTAAGATGCAAAAAAAGAACCACTGGTAGCAAGAAGTTTTCGACTTCTTTTTATTCGAAAAATATAAGTGAGTCCCAAAATTCTATAATGAATAGATGACGAATTTGATTCAAAAATTCTAGTAAGTCCTATTTAGTATGATCTATGTAACCCATAATCACTTTATGCCAATGAAATTCTCTTCCGTGTTTACATTCGATAAATATACTGTAAGAAAAACTTCGATGAATCTTAAAATAATTGTTCTAGAATAGCCTTACTGATCATTTTCAAGATCTTGTTGTTGTTCATTCGTTGAATTATCCATAATAGGTTCGAGTTCAAACTCAGCCATTTTTTGTTCAATTTCTGCGGCTGCTAAAGCATCACTGTTATGTTCAAATCCTATAGAGAATAAATCTTCCATCGAAGCGAAACAAAAAAAACATTGAACTATCTACCTGGTGGCACATTAATTTGTTTATTTCCAATAAGAATAGATTTAAATGTTTGATCATAGTTATATGTTGGCATTGAATATGGATCATCCGCAGTGGAAGTTTGATTGAGAAAAAGTGGTGATGGACAATCATGTGAAGCGAATGCAGCAAATAAATGTGTTGACAAATCAGTAAATGAGAAAAGTGAAGTTTGTGATGATTGTGAATCATTATTATTATGAAAAACAGCGCCACTTTGTTTAATTTTTTCCATAAATTCTTCAAGTGCCACTTTAATTGCTAATTCTATAAGAAGAATTTTTAAAATAACGTCAATGAAAGACGACTCTGACATTTTGACTGCAGAACGGCATACATTTAAGTTTTTAAAGAAAGACTTTCAATAGTATATGAATTATCAAGTTTTACTGAGTACAGATGACATGTCGACAGATAGCCCTATCTTTCTCTAAAAGCCCATATATATATATATGCCGGTCCGTAGTGAAAATTTTCTAGTCACTTTTATTAACCTTCAGCTTCTTTATCTTTTTCATCTCGAACCGTTTGTTTTGTTTCTTCATTTTCATCTGATGAATCTCCGGAAAGATAATCAGGTATTTCATCTTCTGATCTATCTTCATCTGTTGAATCATCTCGTCGTTGATATCGCTCATTAGATAGTGAACGTTCACTTTGATCATCACTTTTATTATCTGATGATGAAGCACTTCGTCGACGACGTCGAGACATCATCATTTTCATTCGACGTCGTTTTTCTTTAGCTTCTGCCTTTAGAATTAAGAAAAAAAATTAATCTTTGAAAATTTTTTTTTTTTTGTTTTCTTTTTTCATTGATATAAATACCTGCCGACGTTCTTCTTCTTCTTCGGAATCATTTTCATTTGTTTTTGTTCGAGCATCATGTAATTGATAAAAAGCGTTTTGTAAACGAATTATTGTATGATTGACTACATGTGAAAATAGAGCCACAGAAAATGCAATACCAGCAAAAAGTATTGTCTCTAAATATTCCAAATAGAGATGTTTAAGAAAAAATCGATGAATGTAAACAAAATATTTACGTTTAACTGTTCGACTACGTATACGTTGAATACGATCAACAAGCATCATTGATATGGACAATAATTTAAAGACAAGATCATCAGACAAATTGGAATCATTTTGATAAAACATACAAGCATTAAAATCATTTAATGTTTGTTGACCTAGTTCTTGAATATGACCACTGAATAGAAGTTCAATAGTTTCTTTTTCTATTATTGTTTGTTTTTAACTTACATATTATTTGATTCGAGTAATTGATGAGCAACATGTAAAAATTCCACAAGAAAACGACGAATTTCACGATGACTATCAAAGCAAAGTTATTATTACAATTTATTTTTTTTTACGGATAATTCTAAAATTTGCGGTCTCGCACGATCAGTCATTCTAGACTATGCTTTGTATTTTCAACAAGAATTCATCATTAATCTTCTTTGTCTTAACTGAATGTAAAGATGTTCTTTTCAGGAATCTATCGATTAGCATGGGTACTTGTAGTCTTACCAAAATTTTCATAATTTGATTCGAGACGCTCTTGGACAAATTAGTTCAAAAATTCTATTCAAATTTTTGAAATGAATTTCTTAAAGAAACCAGTTCTTTAGATTCGATTAAAAGCTATTTTGGGATATTTCTGAACGAAATAACACAATTTCTGGATTTTTCATTTGATTGCACTCGATTTAGAACTATTGTAAAGAGCTTGTTAAGACTTTTTTATCAATTCATTTTTCAGTAAATGCATCCAGCCACTAAAGCCATCCGAGAGAAAAACAATGTGAATACTTTTTAATAAGTTCAAGTGATTTATACAATTTTTTCTTTCTGAAAAGATGATAGCCTGTCCCTAGAAGTTTTCTTCTATATGTTTTCAAATAAATGTCTTCGCTACAAAAATAAAAATAAAAATAGTTGTATTTATGGTCACATTTGAATCAGCTATAGTTGACGATTTAATAATTCTTTAAAAGACCTTTCATAATTACAGAAGAAAAAAAAATCGACGAACGCTATGCTATTTATAAAAATGAGCCATTGGTGATCTTTTGAATTGTTATATTTTCCAAGGAAATGGGAAAAACTATTATGTGTCAAATATTTTCAAGAGCAAGATTCACAAAATCGAGTTAAAGTTAATTAGTTTTGATACTAATAGAAACAAAAAGTCAACAATCTAGATGATACATCTTTTTTCGACGAAGTTACTTCTTATTTAAACGATTCATTGATAAGTATAAAATAAAAAGCTATTAGCGCAATCTCTACATGATTAAAACGTGAAAGATAATGCAGTTGTTCCTGCTAATCACAGAGACATTGTTTGATTTTATCTATTCTAGAATATATATCTTCCTCAAACTTGTACTTTATCCTTCAAAAATGTAATAAGGAAGTATTGTAGCTCATATATCATGATAAGACGTTATTCATTTACAGTATTTGATCGTATATCAACAACGTCTATCACAGTCTATGATCTGAGGAAAGAGAGAGAAGTAGTGCTGTTACGGTATCTATCATGCTGGAAGAGGACGTTACTAAGAAGTATACCATGTCTGTGAGCGACTGTCGATCTCATTTGTCATGGTATGTGATTGTTTATGAGAGGTGCAAATTTCTACTCTATATACTGCTGTTAGATCATGTTTCACAAAACTAATGTCTATAAGACCATTTTGAAATATTTCTTATTAACCAAATCATATGAAATAAAATTTAAAACAGTATAATATCATGTTATTAAAAACAATTGATAAATCATTTGAATTACTTAAGAACATATCTATGTTTTCTTTGTTTTTCTTCATGATAAACTTTTAGAATATTCGATCGATGAACTCAACAAACCTTGTTTTATCATTTCGATTTTTTGTTTGTTGTTTACTTAATTCCAAAAACCGTTTTTCATTACGTTCAAAAAGCATTTGTAAATTATCTTTAGCACCATCAAATGGATGTACTGCACTCAAACAAAGTAAATAGAAAAACGCAGCATCACAACTACAATTCGATCGACCACATAAAGTTCCTAATTGATTCAATGGCATTCCTAAATAAACAAAAACCATAATAATAAGATTATTATTCCTATAGTACTAACCAATTTCAGGATCAAGAATTACTGCCATAGTATAATATTTTTCAGCTGTTTGTATACAACCATCATATTCACTTAAATATCTACTAATATCACCCAAACAAACTAAACATTTATGAATAACTTTTAATAATGATTCAACTAAATTTTCAATTTTTGTTGTCGTTGTTGTCGTTAAATTAACAGCTAAACTACTCCAAAATGAACATATTTTATTAAATAAAAATTTGTCATACATACATTTATTTTCATTAAATAATTGAATAAAATCAAAAAAATGATTCATATTACGATATGGTTTTATCATCGATACAAATTTAATTAATAGATTTGAATAATAACCAAATACAGATAATAAATGCATACGATACATTATTTCAATTTCTATTATTGTTGTTTCATCGTATTCTTGTCGATATCGTTTAAATATTTGTATTGGTTCATAAGCAGCTTTACGCCATAGAAGATCAATAATTTTTAATCCATAATCAATTGGATCATCGAGTAATAGTGTTTCACACATTTGTTTAAATCTATGTTAATTCGAGAAATATGAGTTTTTTTTCTCTGCTTACTTAGCAAAAATTTAATCTTACTTATCACGTAAACGACATGTTTCTGGATTGAATATATTTTTTAATGCATGATGACCAGCATAACGATCAGATAATCGTTTAGATAAAGTTAATGTGTTACTAAAATTTAATATTTATGAAAACTGGAATTCGATTTAAATAGTATTTTCTTTCTTACATGTAATTTTTCTTATTTTTATCTAATTCTAATCTTGATTCATTGGATGTTGTTTGAGATTGTGGAACAACCATCATTTAGAAATTCAAAAAAATGTTTTCTCATAAATTTGTTTTCAAAATAATTTTATAGTGATTGGTTGTTTCTCATCCATATTATTCTTATATTCGCCTCTGTAAATTTCCATTGACTGTTACGACACTATATTTTATCTAAGACCAAAAAATTATGTATGGCATGCCTTCTGGCATATTAGTCTGTGGACATATATACATGAGTCATCCAATCAATGTAGAAATCGATATCCACTAATGCACTTAGTCCAAACTGAAGGGTCAGAAAAAACAAATTTGATAAAAACGTATAGAAACAACAGGTATATTTACCTGCATATTTTGTTTTCAGGAAAAGTGAGTTTCACCTAGATGATGGCGCTACACTACATGCGGAATTCAATTATAGTATTATCAATTTTGTGTGAGAGTGAATCGACGCGAAAGATGTCAGTAAATCAGTGCTTTTATTTTGGTTTAGTTCCATGATTACGCTGGGTCAGAAGAGTTTGACTTCATAAATAATCTTTATTAGTGATGTACTTCATATGCTATTAATAAGAGCTTCCAAAAATGAGTTTCATCCTAGGTGTCGCCACACATAGTGCATTCGACATTGATTGGTGTTTCCCCATTACTTTTTGCCGTCAGACTACGTACTATATGTCATCATTACTATTTGAAATAACAAAAAATGTCTGATATTCGGAATTTTTTTAAAACATGTTCAAGACCAAACAAAAAAGTAATTTACATATATTTGTACATAAATATATTTATAGTATTTACTTGTAGCGTACTCGAGAACAAACTGATGATGAAGAAATTACTTCTGTATCAAAACCTGAACAAAAAACATCGAATAAAACTTCAATGAAAAAAGTTGTATCACAAACAAAACAAACTACTAATGCGACACCATTAAAAAAAATGAAAACAAAAGATATTGATCCAATGGAAAAGAAAAAACGTTCAGAAAATTATAAATCATTTATGAATCGTGGTGGACCTGATGCACCAGGTTCAAAAACAATTCCAGATGGTGAAGAAAATTGTTTGAAAAATTTAACATTTGTTATTTCTGGTGAAAAAAAAAAGATTTCTGATGAAAAAAAAATACAAAAAAAAGTTTAATTTTAGGCGTACTCGAATCATTAGAACGTGATGAATGTAAAAGTTTAATAGAAAAATATGGTGGTCGAGTAACACTAACAATTAGTGGAAAAACAAATTATCTTATTGTTGGTCGTGATGCTAGTGAAGGAAAAACAAATAAAGCTCGAGAAATAAAAATTAAGATTATTTCTGAAGATGATCTTCTTGAAATGATTCGTACACATCCAGGTGATAAAAGTACATCTAAAAAACAATTACCTACAACATCAAAATCATCTTCAACGACATTAAAACGAAAATCATCTTCGACTGTCAGCAAGCCTATAGATGAACCCGATTCTATAATATCATCAACAACATCTGTTGATAAATCAAATCTATTATGTAAGTATCTATTGTATAGATAAGGAAAATATTATTATTCTTTTTAATGTCATAGGGGTTGATAAATACAAACCACAAACAATAAAAAACCTTATTGGACAACAAGGTGAAAAATCTTGTGTTCAAAAATTAATTGTATGGTTACGTGATTGGTATAAACATCATGGCCATAGTGATGAAAAAGTTAAAGCAAAACCATCATTTACTTTTAACCGTAATGAAGATCCAGCTATGTTTAAAGCTGCTTTACTTAGTGGTCCGCCTGGTATTGGTAAAACTACAGCTGCTCAATTAGTTTGTCAACATTTAAATTTTGAATATATTGAAAAAAATGCATCAGATCAACGATCAAAAAAATCGATGACTAATCTACCAAGTGATACATATAGTGTTGCAAATTTTTCCAACAAAACATCATCAATATCTAAATATGTTTTAATAATGGATGAAGTTGATGGCGTATCTGGTAATGAAGATCGTGGTGGTGTACAAGAATTAATATCATTAATAAAACGAACTCGTATACCAATAATATGTATATGTAATGATCGACAACATAAAAAAATTCGTTCATTATCTAATTATTGTTATGATTTACGTTTTCATCGTCCAACAATTCAACAAATTCGTGCTGGAATGTTAACTATTCTTCATCGAGAAAATATACAAAATATAAAAGAAGATATTTTAGATGAAATAATTAAATCATGTAATCATGATATTCGTCAAACGATACATACATTAAATCTTTGGTCTATCCAAGGTACTGCAAATACAAATAAAGTAGCAGCAAAAATGATTGAAAAAACAATAAATACAAATCCATTTGAATTATGTCGTATATCATTTTCGGATGAATTTCGTGAAAAATCTTTAACAGATAAAAGTGATATTTTCTTTTATGATTATCAATTAATGCCATTATTAATTCAAGAAAATTATTTACAATGTCAACCTCATTTATCAACAATAAATAAACAAAAACGAACATTATCTGATATTGAACATTTAAATTTAATATCAAAAGCTGCTGATAGTATATGTTTAGGTGATGTATGTTCACAAATGATATTCAGTAAAAATGAAAATTGGTCTCTTTTACCTTATCAAGTAAAAATAAAAATAAAATCTTTTTTCATTTACTTATTTTTTTATGCATTGTTTTTTTTTTTACAAGGCTATTTTTTCAACTGTTGCACCATGTTCATATATCCGTGGTCATCTTCGTGGTATGGTAAATTTTTCATCATATTTCGGTCAACGTTCTCGTGCAAATAAAAATGAACGATTGTTAAGTGAAATTGAAAAACATATTTGTTTAAAAATTACATCAACAAATAAACAACAATTTAATCTTGATTATTTATCTTATTTAAATCAAGCACTTATATCACCATTGAAAACCTTAAAACAAGATAAAGGTATTGAACAATGTATTTCATTACTTGATGATTATTATCTTAATCGTGATGATTTTCAAACAATTATTGAATTGAATACATGGTCGAAAACAGGACGAAATCAATATGAACAACTTGATACACAAACTAAATCTCTATTAACAAGAAATTATAATAAAACAAATCATCGTACACCATATGCAATAATTGATATGAAAAAATTTAAAAAATCTAAAGGACTCATGGATGATGAAAGTGATGATGAACAACAAGAAGAAACTATTCTTACCAATGATAATAACATAGAAGAAGACGCTATGATTAAACCAGCTAAAAAACCAATAATAAACAATCCGAAAAAAAAATCTCGAGTTAAATAAACAATTTTTTCTTTTTTCTTTTTTTTGAATGCATGTTTAATTGCTTTTTTGTTTTATTGTGTTGTGGTGATCTAATGATATGATAACTAATTTACAACATTTTTCGTTATACTTGATTTCTCTATCACAAATATAAAAAAAAAGCAAAAAAAAGGTATTCAGAGAAATAAAATTACATTTATGTTGTATGTCATGCTTATTTTTTCAATTATAGATAGTGCAAGCAGACGTACAAGGTATTTTTTTCAAAAAGCATTTATGACGTCTATTGTTTATTTTTATTGGACATAACTTACTATGACATACAAGGTAAAAAGAAGATACTGCTTATCACTATAGTTGATATTTTTTAAGAAGGACGAATTTGGACTGGAAATAAGAAGCATTGACAACACTTTACTTGCTCAAAATTTTCATATAGGTGAGATTACCATATGAATAGATCTTTTGTTTTTCTTATTACAAAATTTATTTTAATGTTTTCAAATGACAAGAGTGTGAAAAAAAATACAAATAACTACTAATACTTTGTTTGCTGTTTTAACTAGTTTAGACAATGAATACTAAAAGAAAACGACAACAACTAACAGCTAAAATACAAAAATCTAAAAAAAACGAATCAAAGAAAGATAAAAGTATGCTTAAAAATGAATGGTTTGAAATATGAAAAGAATCAGCGTGAAATAGCATGAATACATCTACATATATATATATATATATATATATATATAGTTTTTTTATTTTATATCAAATGAAATATTTCTCGTTTTTTTTAGTTTTAGTACGCAATTCAGTATCACAGAAAGCTTTGTCTTCACCTCAATCTTACATGAAACATGTTAGTTTAGTTTTTTTAACTTTACAAAATGTTGCTAGTATATTATTATTACGTTATGTACGTACAACACCAGGACCACGTTTTATAAATTCAACAGCTGTACTTAATTCTGAAATTCAAAAAACAATATTCAGTATTTTATTATTGATTTATGAACAAAGAAGTGTTATTAAAAGTTTAAAATTAATTTATAATAAAGTCATACGTCAATCAAAAGATGCATTTAAAACTGGCATACCGGCATTACTTTACACATTACAAAATAATCTTCTTTTTGTTTCAATTTCGAATTTAGACGCAGCTACATTTCAAGTATGTGTAGAAAAAAACACAGAAAAAGAAGGAGCTCTTTCATCGCTAACATAACTTGAAATTTTTATTTCAATAATATCCTAGCTTTAGGTATGTATTGAAAAGTCAAAAGCAGAATTTCGACCTAAAACTTTGCTCATCGATAGATCTAATGGACCATAGAATGTCTTGAAAGTTTCAGCTAGAAGGAATCTTTTTCTTTTCGTCGACATTTTGAATGTTTAAGAAAACTCGGTTTTTTTTTATTCTATGCCTTTGGAAAACGATTATTTTTCTTTTTGGAAATTCAATATCATGACAAAAGAATATTCTTTCCGGCTGATACTTTGATGATATTCTACGGATCATTGGACCAATATATGGGTGAAATTTCACATCGAAAGTTTAGTTTTCTTGCTTTTCCATATATACCTAAAGCTAGACCGAAAGCTTAGTAAAATGATCCTAGATCAGTTTCAATGGCCTATGACGACGAACCATTCTAGTCTTAATGAGACTTCTTTGTGCGGACTCTATATGAACTAACGATGGATGTCAGTTTGAGTGCTTCCCTTGTTAGACAGTGATGAAAAATCAGTAAATACATTTTCCTGA